TGGGGGGGGGGCGCAAGGTGGAAGTTTCGCCTAGGGCGCGAAACTTCCTTGCACCAGCCCTGCTGCTCCCCCTCCCCCGGGGCCACGCTTGGCAGCTTGCGAAGATCACAACTGACTGAGAGAGGCTCCAGGACTGACCAATCGCAATCGCCGGGTTGGTGAGCACTGGCCTAGAGAGTCTATCTTGCTAATATTGGACAGCCCTGGACTGAGGTAGATCTGATGTTCACAAGAACCTAAACTTTGACAGAATTGTGGAATCCTTCTGCACAACCTAAGGAGTGAGAAAGCTGCTAAATTAGCAGTACTCACCCTAGCTCAGGAAAGAGCCTGCGACAGTTCTACTCTCCTTTTGGGCCTCTGAAGATAGACTTTAATTATGCTAGTGAGTTGGATTAAGCAAGTATCAGTCAATACTGCTCAGAACTTACACCTGCAGGCCAGGCCTTGTCAAATTTGTCATCCACCTAATGTTGCTGACCTTTGCTGAACTACAAGCTGCCTCAAAAATTGAACATTTTTACTCTGTTGTAGTAACTTGTTGCTGTACTTACCTGTGCAATGGGAAACGTACACAGGTTTTCTGCTATAAGAGTCAATGCATCTAATGTCATAGGACAGTCCAGGGGTGCACTGCATACACAGTTGGTGAGTGGAGACAGAAAATAGCCAGAAAAGGTGAAGAGATACTTTCCCAAACTTACAGCTTTAGATATACTGGTTTGAAGGGGAGGAACATACAATACTTTAGCAATTTTCTTCTTTTATAACCACACTTTAAAAGCAAAGACCATTCAAAGAAAGGCTCTCTCCTAACCCAATAGAAACTTGCATTGGTTTTAATAAAGGAATTGAGGAGGGAGGAATTAAGCCCCTCTACTTGGATACAGAGCCACTGAGGATGTTGTCAGCATCAGGTGGCCCTTGTCAATAGTAGACTAGTAAGGGGGTGGGGGGGTGGGAAGCACATTTTATAAGTAATATATTACAATGAGTGAGAGTTTAGCAATGGTTCCTTTTACTAGTATATGCAGAGCTGCAGTACAGTCTGTTCAGTTATGCAACTACAGCACCCTGCCTGTAGAAGCAGGGCCCCTGGAACTGGCACGAGCAGCACTGCCTTGGCTAATTTATAACCCTATTCAACAGTTACATTGCTTAGCCATGGAAAGGGAAAGCAATTTTACAATCTGCAAGTTAAATATGAAGAGCCTCTTGCTAGAAAGTTAAAACCCGAGTGACGACAAGGGCAAGGATTTTAAATTTAATTAAACTTTATTACAGTGCACATTATTTTTAATATATATTTATATAGAGATGTACTTGAAAAATCAAATGTATCCAATAATAAAAAATACAGCACATTAAAGTAGTATAATGCATTCCAGTGTATAGCTGAAGAGACATTGGGATTTCAGAAAAAACTTCTGAGAAATTACATGACTCCCTACCATTTTAGAACTGGGCTACTTATTTTCAAAATTCACATCAACCAGTAACTGAAATATTTATTAAAAAGATGGATTTTGCACTCAAAATCTCAAGGCGTGAAGACACTGGGGCCTTCAACATAAGTTTTATTCAGGGGCCGTGTTCAACCCTGGCAGGCACAGTGTGGTTTAGTATTTCCCTGCCATACCGATATACGTAATCCCCTCTGGCAAAACCAGGCCCCTTCCTGGACCAAGAGGAGAGCTCCATCCTCCTGCTCACTTAATCCTCAGCTGTAGTCCTGGAGGAACTGCCTTTTGCTGGGGCAAGGGGAAATGAAGTGATTCAGGCTGTAATTGTTTCCCCCAATACACCTCAACCCTGCTCTGCAGTTGGTAAGGGGAATTCAGTCACCCTGCGCTCATAGCCAAAACTCTCCCCTCCACTGCTCCGGCAATGGGGCTACCATGCCCCCCCCCTCCAATATAGCCAGGGTCTGCCCTTTCCTGGGCTGAAGAGTCTTTTGGCCTTCCTGCTCATTAGATCCTTTGTTCTGTAAGCATGCCAAACCGTGCTGTAGTCTGATCCAACTGCTACATTCAGGGAGCCATATCCCTGAGAGGAGGAGTGTGGTCCTCACCCAGGGGAACAAACCAAACCTTTAAACTAGGATTATTTTCCCTTGGTCTCTATACAGCAAGAGCGGACAGTATGACCACCCCCCGCAAAGTCAGCTGCAGCCAACACGTGCCAGTGCGGGCACTGGTGCTATCTTGTTTAATTCCAGCCAGCACCACCTAGGGAAAGGTTTCCCCTCCACGTAGTCTGTTGCAGAGCTTGCCAGGATGTGTGTACTTTGACCACGGATGTTTTTTTCTTCCTGGCTTGGAGCAGGTGGTGGTGCTGTGCATGCAACTCTTTCACACCGTTTGCAGACTGGGGGAAGGGAATCAAAGGGAGCAGAAGATTGGGAAAAGGGACTGAGCAACTCCTTTGTGCATCCACCCTTCGTCCTGGGAATTTCATTCTGCTTTTTTCAGAAAAATCTGAAAAGATAGAATGGAGAAGAATAAGAGAAAAGAAGCAAAAGGCCTCAGGGTAGGGCACTTTCTCAGGTACAAAACTTCCAGGCAGTCCCCCCGCTAGCAGGGAGAGAGGTCACAAGGGTGAAGACACCTATGAAGGGTATTAGAATGAGGGTGGTTTTTTTTTTGCTAATTTGTTGCTGACAAGACACCATCTTGAGGGGATACCAGAAGATCACGTGATTGCAGCCTGCGACTAGTCTTCAAAGGGTTGGTCCCCACACCCCTTACTTAGCGATGCTGGTGTGGGGACCAGCAAGCAAGGTGACAGCCCCATTTGCAGGACACAAATGATGTTAGAGGGCAGAAAAACCCAAATCCCCTGACCCTCAGGCTATTAGAACTGTGGTGGGTTTGAAGGGACACTATCAAGAATTTAATTAAACGTTTAAAAAATACTCGGGATGTTTAAACATTCCTTGTACAAGCCCATTTTCTCCCTTCTCAGCTGTCTGGCCAGTAGTAAGGGGCAAGCACCTATTCCTTTCTCCAAAGGACTGGGTTTAACGACAGTCACATTACCAGGAAAGCACTTGCCCCAACTAGAGTAACAGTCCCTCTGTGCAACTCACTCGAACTCCACAGGTTCATCTCTATATTCAAAGTTCTGTACAAAATGCATTGCCACTTAGGGGCCTATCCTGCTCCCATGGACATCCAGGTGAGCTTTTCCATTAGCTTTCATGGGAGCAGGATTGTGCTTCTAAGACCAGGGACTCTGGATTCAACAGGATGAAAAGGCCACTCACCCTCCTAACCTCTCCCTTCAAGGAGAACTCAAAATCCCCCTCACCCCTTTTACCCTGATATCTATTCCTCCTGTGTGGGAAGAATTCAGGGGGTGGGGAGGGGTTCTGTCTGTTCCAGGCTGGTGGAGGGCGCTGTCCAGATCTAAGCTGCTTTTTTTAAGCCAGAAAAACAAGTTACCTCACTCAAGATGATCCACACTGGAGAATCAGTCTGGATGACCAGACGGATGGCTTCTAGAGGCCCAAATGAAGGGTCCACTTCTCCTTCTGCAATACCCTTAGAAAAGGAGCCTGATGGAGAAAAGCAGACAGGTCTGGGGTAGAATATCCTCCCAAGAGCAGCTGAACTGTCCCTGAGGGCTCCCCCAGCATCAAGCAGTCTCATTTTCAGTCTTGTTTTCCAGTAGCTGTTACAGAGCATCAACCCAGGCCTTCGCTGGGAGCCTTTGATAGATATGGTCCTGTACAAACCAACCACTCTTACTCTTTAAGCAGCTGCAACATTTAAGTGTTGCTTACCACTGAACCTGTGAGAGGGTAACTGCATATGCTCATTGTTTTTAGTTTGCACACAGCACCAAACTACCTGATTGATCCACTGCACTCTCTCAAATGAAAGGGACTCAGGGCATTGTGAGGTCAAATATAAGCCCTTCCCAGAATAGCAATACCTTTAAAAAAAAGTGATGTATCTCACAACCAAAGAAACTGGATTCAGAAGTCTAGAAATGCAGAGCCCTACATGGCCAGTAGGTGGCAGTGTTTCATAAATTAACATTTAATGTATCTACCTAAACATTGTGAAGTTGAACAGGGTTGTGGAGAAAAGGACAGTGGAAGGAGAATATTTAGCCCCTTTATTTTCCTGAGCATGTCTATATGGTGGCAAAGGCCACGAGAATGCAAACAGCAGCACAGGAATTCCCCACACAGCACTAGCTACCCTGAACCACAAGTTAGAGCCTGTACTTTGTGATAAAGGAGCTCCGTCTCCAGAGATTTTCTTCTGCTTTTTAAGGTGTGATGAAGAAATCTTTCCTGTAGGGACCTTTCCAGCGCTACGATCTCCCTAGGTGGTGTATTTGATCCATGTGTCCACACCAATGTATGCATGAGCCCACACTACTGCCTGCTCTGCAGAACAGAACCAGAAAAAAGAAGGTGCAATTGACTTAAAAATCACATCTATAATTTTCCCCTCATGGTGAAATCTTTGCTCTCTCCAGCAATGCCCCACTTGGGAACCCTCAAAGCCATATTGCAGCAGCAAGGATCCTGGCACAAGGCATCTGAAAACTACTCCTGTTGGTGCTGAGAGGAAACTCGCGGGAAGTTACTAACGAATGCACCACGACAGCATTTTGCTTAACTGAAAGCCAACTTTGTTCATTCCCTTCAGGTCTGTTCAATTCCTCTTTCCCTGCCCTAGGAATCAGCTTTAATCCTGCTATATTGTTACATGAGAGAGAGAGCGCGCGCGTCCTGCAGAAAGGAGAATTGTGATTAAAACCCATCCAAGTTTTGGCTCATGGAGAAAAAAAAAAAAGCCTACCTTGCTTTACATGACTGACTTTCAATCTCATTTCCAGGCAAATCAATTCCAAGCAAGGTTTTCAGTGGTCGTTATTCATTTGAAGATCAACAAATGTGGTGCATTATCAGCAAACAGCAGACCAGCGTTTGCCTTGAACCAGTAATTTACCTATCTGTATGTAGCCATCTGATGTCCTGTGGTACTTGAACACTGTCCCTCTTCCCTCCTGCAGGGCTTCCTTATCTGACTGGAGACTCTGTGCGGGAAACAGACAGTCATTGCAGAAAGCCAGTGGCGAGAATTTAGGAAGCTGCTGTGGGTACAGCATTAACAGCCAGAGCCATAAAGCAAACAGCATTGCAACTTTCAAAGGAAATCACTGTAGCAACATGTAAACTTGTTGTAAGGTCTTTCCTTTCAAGCACTAGTATATTAAAACATACACGAGAGGTATTAAACCATGAGGTCTCTCTACTGCCATGGGCTTGTGTCTTAACTACAGACAGGCAGTAGCAGCACCTGGTTTACCCCATGGCTTCGGGTATGAGCCAGGACTAGGTTTTGGGTTCCGATTAGACAGCACAGTAGTTTTACATGCTCTTCTTGAAAGATTTTATCCCAAAGTGGTGGAAATCTGACAAGATCATCTGTTCTGGGCCTAATGAGATCCTGGATTAGAATCACAAGAGAACAGGTGTTCTGCAAGATTCCATTGGCATCTGGACTGGAAAGTAAGCCCCTAATGGTTTCTGATCTGAATTGGAACAAAAACCATAGGGGGATGGTTCAGATTGGGAATCTGAATCGACCTGCCCTCCCACCCACCTTGTAATTTGATTGGTTTTGGATTGCAGGTTCTGGTCTAATTTTAACCTATATAGAAGTTACATATCCAACACCAGGCCGCCATGTGACTTTGAGGACAACTGCAGCAAGGAACCAGCCAGAGTCTTCAGCTGGTAGGAGCAGCTGCAGACGCAACCAAAGCAGGGACTGCTGCATTTGGAGGGAGTGGGGAGCATAAAATGGGGCCCTGCTCAGGCTACCTCTTGCCCCAACTCAGAAGCATGCAAGGGAGACCCCTGCCCCCCTCTGTCAGCACTAGAACTCAGGCAGTGCCTCCCCTCCCCATGTGGTGGTGGTGGGGAAACTGCAGAAGGGAGCCAGCCAGAGACTCCAGGTGGTAGGAGCAGCTGCAGAAGTAGCCACAGCAGGGACCACTGGACATTCAGAAAACTTTCTACAGTTTTGACGGGACCTTCTCTACCCTGGGCTGATTGGCGGTTTACTCCAACCCTCTCCCTGCCCTTCCCTTCAGCTTCATTCCATACCTGCCCCTCTTACTCTCGTCCCCTGCCCTGTCCCCCTCACCCCACTTCCCTTCAGCATCTCCTTTCCCTTCATCTGTCTGTCTGTTTAGCTGATCCCCTCTGAACTAAATCAAATGCCCAGCCAAAGTCATGCCACAAACACGACATTTGCCGCAATCACTCTGCTTGCATGTTAGACCTTCCCCCCCCCCACCGGTGTCTGTCTCGTCTGTCTAGACTGTAAGCTCTGCAGAGACTGTCTGCTGCTCTGTGTTTGTGGAGCGCCTAGCACAAACCATAGGCACCAAAGGCACCACCGTAATAGGCATGATTATTAATAACGAAGTCAGAATAGTCTGATACTAGCAGGACCAGCAAACACGTCACAGCCAACAGATCACGTGCACTTACTAAACATTTCCCTTCGAATTTTAAACTCCCCCCTGCAAAACTTTCACTTCTTCCTACTCCCAACCACCAGCCCGATCCCCCAAAACTTACATCAAAGGGCAAAACCTCCACAGTCGTATTGAAGAGTTTGTCTTCAGGATGTTCAATGTTGCCACTGCGGAAGAAGAATCTGTGTAACAGAGACCAAAGCTGTAAGAACCTGACTGGATTTAGAGGTGCGGGGGGACCATCGTGTCTCCTGCCAGGAGTGATTTATCGAATGTCTGAACCAAATAGGCAGCTTTACGCTCACGGAGAGCTGCTTTCATTGAGATGGCTCTTTATGCAAAAACAGCTAATTATGGATTATTGTTTCATTGCATTTACAAGTGAAGAGTTCCAGTGCGTATGGGAGCAAACATAAGCAGTTATCCCAATGAGAGGAACTTGAGAGGTAACAGAGTGAGCTGTGGATGAGGGAGGGCTGCAGGAGTTCTGGGCAGGCTTCATAAATGGATCTTCTGGATAAGGGGCTTTTCATGTCACCATTGCTGCAGGTGTATTGGGATTATAACACACACACACACACACACACACACACACACACACACACACACACACACACACACACACACACACACACACACAGAGAGAGAGAGAGAGAGAGAAAGAAAGAGAGAGAAAGAAAGAAAGAAAGAAAGAAAGAAAGAAAGAAAGAAAAAAGGGAGTCTCAGAGAGGAGATGCCTCAACCCCAGATCAAGACAAAACTGCCAGGCCTGGTGAAGTGACATCTGCACACATCACCACATCCTGGGCCTGACCAAGAGCCATGTGAAGATGAGTTTTTCCTTTCTCTGGAAAAACAGGTCCCTCTAGACCCTTAGCATCCAGCACAGCTTCCCCTCATCTGTAAAAGTGGGAGAGCGACAGCAGTGCACACCTGCCTCATGGGGGAGGGGAGGCTCTGGGATGGACATTTGCATACCATTTTGGAAGTATAATGTGAGTGCTGAGTAGTGCTATTATTGTAGGCAAAGCCAAGGAGCAGCACTGATACCACTACTTGTCCTCAAAAAGAGAAAGGGTTTCTGCAACACCTGCTACCAGGGTACTGGGAGATTGAAAGGGTTACTTGCGGTGGTCGGGGGGTTGAGGGGAGGGATGAGCAAAGCCTTACTCTGGGGCATGCTTAGAGACGAAAAACCCAGGCAGGACTGTTTCCCAGAAAGGTCAGGCTCCTACTACTGACTATCAAGGCAGCAAGAAATCTGACCCATAAACTACTCTCCCCACTTCAGTTCCAATTTTATTCTCCTATAAAGGCCCCCCACGCGCCCCAAGGGAACTGCACTGAGTCAGGAGACCCTCCGCCCTTTAGACACGATGCATTCACAGAGCTGCGTTATCTGCCAGCAACACAGAACTGGGTATTGACTACAGCTGTTTCTATTATCGTGCTGCTCTTCCCTGGCAGTGGTCAGAGCTATGCAAAACCAAGTCTAGAATCAGGGTGTGCAAGTTTCTGCCCTGCAGCCAACAGGATGGGACACCAGTCTGGGCACAAGGGACAACACTCCAGAGAGGAAAATCAAGACATCTAACACAAGGAGTGAAACGACAAAGACTTGCCTTTGCAAGGAGGGGCGGGGCAGCAACTACTTAAATGCAAAGGAAAGTAAAATGGAGTCAGAGAAGCAGCCTGCACCACTTGGGATAAAAATCAGGGTAATATGGGGACAGAAAAGGGGAAGCCCATCTCAGCCCCTAGTTTTGTATATTTCCCCCACCGCTGAGCGCACCCCAACACACTGACCTTTCGATGCGGAGTGGTTTAAAGAATCTGAATCGGATGAAGTCTCCTGCCATGGGGGTGAATGCCCAGAAGAAGTCCTCTCTTAGGTAGGCTTTCTCCAAGGTAAAGTGTTGATAGGTTTTCAGACTGGTGCTCACCTCTGCGGGAGGGTTGACATGTTCTTTTCGCAGGGCTTGCTTTCCAAAGTCTTTGTCCTCAACACATACAAAGCAAAGCAAGAGTGAAGTCTCACACATGGCTTTCATTGAATGAGAAATAAACAGGGTTTCCAGCTTTAGGGAGACAGAAATTAAAGGCTCCAACATCCCAGTGCCAAAGTATCAATGCAACATTTACAGAATGTGAGATGGAAGCTGGTGCGCAAAGGGCATGGGGAAAAACAGAGCCCTCGGGTTCTTTTGGGGAGCTGATTCCCAGGAGCACAGGGCTGCAAAGGGGAAATCATCATATGCACTGTGGTAGCACATAGGAGCCCCAATCAGGACCGAGGCCCCATAATGGTAGGTGCCATACAAACACAGAACCCTGCCTCAAGCATCTTACAAGCTAAGGAAAGACTTAGTTAACCTGGGTCAAATTATTTGCCAGTGATTGAGTTATATCAGAGAATGACTGGGTTATTTGGACTGGATTATACCATATATTTATATAAAGTGATATTTTGTATCAGGTACAGAGCCATACTTGAGTACAAAGCATGCTTCTCACATTTTTACTGCATAATATACTTTCCGAAAAAAATTAGTGGCACTACTTTGTAGTTGGATTTTGTTGAAATTTAAATAGTCCCCCTCCACCCCCCATACAATTTACACTGTTAAGAAGTGAGCCTTAATTTGCCTAAAAATAAACACCAAGAATCAGGTAAAATACAGCAACCCAGAATGACCGCGACATGACAAGAAGGGCTGTTACACTACAAGCTCAGCTGTGCTGTGATGCTCAAGACTGAAGGTCAAGTACCTCCAGCCTCTGACTGGTGTTTCCACCCTTCTCCAACCTCAACCTCTCTTCAAGTGCATTGCAGCTCTGATGCACTCAAACAAACGGGATTAGGGAAACATGGCTAGTGAATGTGTCCTAACCTCTTTAGTCATGGCACGTGCCCTGTTTCAAGACCTGGTTTCCTGACTGAATTCCGATTTCCTTCCAACACATTTAAAAAAACTTTCATTATCTCAGGAAGTAAAACATTCCTCTTCTGTCTGGTGCCTCCCTTCCGCCTGTAATGCCCTGAATGAAGCAGCTGCTTCCCCTGCTCAAAAAGTTAGAAAACTCAAATGCAATTGAATCTATGAATTTGCATGACACCAACCACCACAGCATTAACAAGCAGCTTTTAGTACAGATTACCTAGCAACCAGCCGTCCAGTGATGACAGGAGGAAAAAGGAGAGACAGGGCAGTTTAATAAAGGTGTCTAAAATATTCATTTAAATTTGCTGAGCTTGAAGGTGTCCCGTGTTGAAAAAACAAAAGGGGGAGCAGAGATGCTGCATTACTCCACCCCCAAATGGAAACCTGGCCATTAAGATATGAAACTCCAAGCACCACATCTGATTTCCAAAGGCGGCAAGTTGGCGTATGCATGTGAATCCAGAGTGCAAGAAGGGCCTGACATCAGGGAGATCTTTGTGGGTGGGGGAAGAATGCGATGCCACGGTGTCAGATACCCACTTTCAATTTCTGTATCTTCCCAGCCAAGGAGGAGTGGGTTCCCACATGCTGGAAGAGTGAGGGCTTGAAGCGGATTCTCAGGTTCGCCTTCTGCCTGTCACAATGTTTCTGAAATGAGAAAGCACAGTGAGAACTCTGGCTTCTGCCTTTGTTGTGCAGAGCACCTGGATCACCAGGAGTGGGGGAAAGCAAAGGTCAGGTCAGATCATGGGGGAGAGAACCATGGGAAACACCCTTTACTCTGCCTTTGATTTGCAAGTAAGATGAATCTGTCAGTGACTTTCAGCTCATTATGCAGAAGGATTCGGTGAGCTGGTCCACCAGCAAGAGCAATGGCACCTATGCTCTTATTAATTCCAAGTGCCTACATTTCAAACTCTCCTCCTCACCCAACACTGCCAATTGTATTCTGCGATCTGCCTAATCAGTGCCCTTCCTCCCTAAATTCTCAGCTGTTAATACCAAAGGAACAAAATAGATCAGCCTCTCTGGTTTGCCAGGAAACTCATTTCGCTCCTCCCTTCTTCAATCCCTGGAACTTCATTGACTGGTTTAGCACTTTCTCCCAAACAATGCTCCTCTCTCTTTGGGCAAGTTGGGTACAAGCTCTGGTAGGGTTTTTATTAGTTTGCTAGTTCCTCTGGCAAAGCTGTTTGGCCTGATTTCAAACCACCCCAACAAGGTGGGGTTGAAAGTTCAACTCTAATCTGAACTACTGTTATCAGGTTCACATTCTACAGAAGAGAGAGCGAGCAGAAAGGGACAGAGGAAAAAAACAGTGAGAAAAACATTGTGAACGTGGAGCAGAGACAGGGCCGGCTCTAGGCACCAGCAGAGGAATCACGTGCCTGGGGCGGCACATGCTAAGGGGCGGCATTCCATCCATTCTTGGGGCGGCACAGTCCAAGCAGCCTGTTTTTTTTGCTTTTCGGCAGGGGGGGGGGGGGGGGGGGGGGGGTGGTGTTTTTTTTTTTTTTTTTTTTGCTTGGGGTGGCAAAAATGGTAGAGCCGGCCCTGAGCAGAGAGGAAACCAGACAGAGAGAGATTGGGGAAAGGAGCAGAGAGTAGTCCGAGGGAAAAGACAGTCTAGTTATATCATAAAAACAACAAGGAGTCCGGTGGCACTTTAAAGACTAACAGATTTATTTGGGCATAAGCTTTCATGGGTAAAAAAACGTCACTTCTTCAGATGCATGGAGTGAAAGTTACAGATGCAGGCATTATATGATGACACACGAAGAGCAGGGAGTTACCTCGCAAGTGGAGAACCAGTGTTGACAGGGCCAATTCAATCAGGGTGGATGTAGTCCACTCCCAATAATAGATGAGGAGGTGTCAATTCCAGGAGAGGCAAAGCTGCTTCTGTAATGAGCCAGCCACTCCCAGTCCCTATTCAAGCCCAGATTAATGATGTTAAATTTGCAAATGAATTTTAGTTCTGCTGTTTCTCTTTGAAGTCTGTTTCTGAAGTTTTTTTGTTCAAGAATAGTGACTTTTAAGTCTGTTATAGAATGACGGCTACCCCGATAGTTATATCATATCCAGGACACCTATTAGAAGCCCCTGGCTTATGGGGATTTATCCACAGTACATTGCACAGGAGTTCCATTAGCTAGAAATTTAATTCAGTTTTCCTTGTGGGGAGGGCAACGGGATGCAAATATGGATTTAAGCACAGGGAAAGATAAGGCCTTTTTTTGGTCCAACAATTTTTGTGACCCCACTTATAGGGATGTCCGCAAAGTATCAAACTCAATGGGATCTGTCTACGTACCTTTTATGATGGGCTCTCTGAATGCAGACCCTGCACTATACTAAGAGCTAAAAAGGGGGACAAGCTGCATAGAATCCCATCAGTGGTACTCAAGCCTTTCTTGCTAAGCAAGCCCTTGGCACGGCCCACGTTACCTGTGCGGTACTGCCAACTTCAAGAGAGCAAAAACCATGAGTTGGACTTCCAGAAATCATGTTTGACTCCAAGAAGTCATGAGATTGGCCCCAAAATCATTACGTGTTTTTTAGCTCGGTCTCTTGATGTTTGAACTCCCCCTGCCCATCCCCAGGGTGTGTGCATGGTAGTGTTGCCCACTCTCCCATATGTACTGGACAAGGTGACTTTGGCCCCTGCTGCAGGAGCTCTCACCCCCCACATCTGCCCGTCTTCTGCCCAGCAATTAATCCTGTCCCCCAGCCCTCCTCCATCAGTTTGTCCTCACCCATCCCCCGTCAATTCAGTCTCCCTACCCCCATCACCACCCCATCAGTTCAGCCCCCCACCCCATCAACCCCCACTGCCCTCAGTTCACCCTTCCAGAACTCACCCCATCTGCTCAGAACCCACCGTCAATACAGGCCCCCAACCCCATCAGCCCCCACCCTCCTCACTTCAGTCCCCCTGCAGCCCTCAGGCCATGGTTCAGCCCTCCCAGCCTCACCTCTGCTCCTCTTAGGGTTTCTTCACCCTCCCCAGGCGTGGGGCGGGGGGCTGCAGTGGGGTCCCCTCTCCCGTTTCCCAGGCTGGCAGGGGAGCAGCCACCTGCGCTTGACAGCGGGAGCCTGGCCCCGCCGCCCCACACCTGAGGCTTGACGGGGGAGCCCCCGCTGTGGCTGACAGGATTGCTAAGTAAAATTAAGCCTCACTTTTAGAGCTCTCAGACGTAAGGATTTTTTTTTTCCAGCCGCAGCTGGATACCCCCCCGCCCACAATCCTGACATTTGAGAGTTCTATCGTGAAATAATGAGCGAGGCTTAAATTTACTCAGGAATTGTGACTCTCACGATCAATCCGCGAGAGCTGGCACGTCTGCCTGTGCCTCCCCGGAACCTGGACATTCCAGGGGTATTCTCTGCAGGCTGCATTTGAGCTAATCCCTTAATCCAACTCTCATTACATTATAAAATTAAAACTGGCCCTGTTAATGGGAGAACCTCTTTGCACTGCCAGCAAAAAACACAGCTCATTTCAGGTCCCTATTTTAACCTAGATGGGAAAAACAGGTTAGAGTATGTTAGTGCCCTTAACACCCGCTCCCCCCCTTTACTCATTTTGTTAAGGACACATTTAATGAAAGCAACATTGTCCTAGGCACATTAGGGTGGGGAACTGCTCCGCTAGTAACAGCAAGGTCAGCTCTTCATATGCAACTTTATCCCAGGTAAATCTACAATTAGTTTTCAAATGTAAAGAGAACAGGATGTATCCAGATCAGGCAAAGCACTTCCCAAAGAGCTCAGGCCAAGGAAACTTTTAATCAAGAAAGCAAATCCTAGCGCTACCAATCTGATTCGACACAGTGGGATTTACAGTCACGTTTCAAGGGGCGCTGCAGAGAGTTAATCATGCACACAGTGGGAGAAGGAGCCAGAAATCCACACTAGAATTAGGTTAAATTTGTAAAAAAGCAACAATTCAGAGGTTTGCAGCATCCCCTGAGAAGACAGTGGAGGGGAAGCAGTCAGGTAGGAGAGTATGAGCTAACCTGGCTGCGCAGTGGGAATTACATTAAAACACTGCTCAAGCTAAATACAAGGGGGGTGGTGGTGGTGAAGGGGAAGCACCAGCTGCATCTCATCACTCCTGCATGGAGCAGACGCGCAAACAAATCCCAATCTTGCCCAGAGGTTCTGTAGGATATGTTGATTGAGAATGGGTCTGTCACCCAAGAGCACACTGGGCCAAAACCGCCTGAAGAACAAACAAACGGTGTTCAGAACACAAATCACCCTACACACAAGAGGATCTAAGGGATATTGCTACCTATCTCTCAGAGCGAACAGAGGAGAAAAGATAAAAACCTACTAGAGACAGATACTAGCCCTGCTTCTCTGGGGCACTGACCTCTGCTTCAGGTTTAAATGTATTCAAATACAAGACCAGAGTGTGCATCTGGCAACGAGTTCATCTCACACTCACGGCTGCAACCCTCATCCTCCAATACCCTCCCACTCCATCCCAGTTACTCTGATCTCTTGTTGTTGCTAGTTTAATTTAGAACACCAGAAAGGATGTCCCTTTTTTATTGTCATCTGTAAAGCATCAGACACACACAGCATGGTAAACAATAGATCATAATGACCACAAGACAGCAATAAGGATTCCCCTAGAATCCCCATGAAGCATCTCTTAGCAACATGCTAATCTGGAAGGCAACATATTGAATTTTCCAAAAAATTTTTCCTAGGTAAGATCCTAATGAAGCTTTCCTGGCTAAATGAGATTAACAAAGATTCAGAACAAAATTTCATCATCACTACTTCTTATAAAAAGAGATCTTCCCATCTTTCCCAGCAAGTTCTGGACATTCAGAGCAAGTGCAGAGTGGAAAGATTCTTCGTGCCTTCTGTGGGGATTGTTTACTTACCGCATCTTTTTCTGGATTGCACACTTTCACCCAAAGGATGTGATCAAGGAGCCAGTCAATGGGCTTGTCCTTGTAGAACATGAGTATAAACTCCACAATCAGGCTGAGATCCAGCGATTTGAACATCTTTCCTGAAAGCATATTTGGATGGAGAAGAGACAAAGCAGATACAGTATGAAACAAACAAGATCCAGCAACTGAAAAGAATAACAAGTTCCTCAGGGGAAAAACTGGTTTATCTCCTTGCATCTCTAACGGAGTTTCAAGTAACCATGGATTTGCGCAGTTGGAGCTTATGCATCAGCATCACTGATGCTGCCTGTACAGTTCTAAAATTAGCATTCATTATAGAACTGTTGCTAGCGAGTTAGCAACACACACCATTATGAGTCCCACTGAAGTCAAGGTCAATAGCATGGAACACTCACACCAGGTGGGGAGGGGACACCAGAGAGATATGGGTGAAAATGGAATTCATGCACAGTTCTAGTATAGATTATTTTCCTGCCCGCAGAGTTCAGAAAAACATCAAACCCCATTAAACGAATGTAGCCAACACCCAGCAGAGGAATATCCAAACTGCTTGCATAACCATACAGTGCTGCTCCTGAAATAGTTCTCAGCTGATGTAAAACTTCCTCCAGCCCACAGACTGAGCGTGTTATGGCAGGTGCTTCTAGATCCCATCCAACCAAGAAGCAACCAGTCACATCCAGGAAGCGAGCCTCACTGCTGGGCCACTGGGCAGATTTATTTTTTTATTAAAAATGAATCAGAATAGCAGTAGTTTAATGCTTGTGGAAGATGCAACATGGACAAGCATGGACTTGCACCGTCCCTACCCACTTATAAGCTACGTCTCGTAGGAAGCTTGGCCTGTTCAACACAGCACATCAGTAAAACATTATGCCACATAAAAGGCAATGAGACGCTAGAGGCAATTGCTGTTGCCATGCTCTGTGTTTTAGCTGAATTGTGTCAACAGGAAGGTGACTGACACACAGGTTCTCGTTCCAGCTGTGTAACTATCCCAGGACCAGGAGGCTCAGGACAGAAAACTTGGAGGTAGTTTATTTCCTGAGCAAGTCAAAGGGTCACTATAAAAAAGTGTTAGAAGAAGCCAAGCATATGGAATTTACCCTTACTGTGGGAAAACGTCTCTAAGCAAGAGGGTTGCTGTTTGTAAGATCTAGCCAGCTATGTGATAGCCACATTTGGAAGGTACTGCGGGGCGAGGGGGGGGGAGGAAGAGTCAGTTACCAATAAACCCAAGCTGTGAGAATTCCAGGATCATCCACTCCTCAGATGGCTGCTGCAGAGCAAAGTTCTTCATTGTGCTGAGATAGTTTGGTTTGGCTACAATGTCGTCCTCGAGCTGCAAGGGGAAAAGGAAACTTAGCACATGCAACAAAAAACACATGTTCTGTTCCAGTCTCTCCGCTGCACAACATTCGACACAGGAGGGCAGGGGAAGGTTTTGGCAAAGGCAGAGTTTGTTGTGGGAACCTACACTTCTAATCTAATCCAACAGGCTAAAGGAAAACTGACTCCTACTCTTTGTGAACCTCTTCCATTCCCGGGCAAAATTCTTTAGCCTGTTTGGCCAAAGGGAACTTTAACAGCTGTGTTGAGTAAGCTGCAGCTCATACATGACAGCAAAGGCACTGCTACTTTTCTAGCCATTAGACCAGGTTCCATTGTAAAGGTTTTCTGCAGTGTGGCACCACAAGTCGGCAAATTTCAAAGTGAGCCATCCCTCCCCACAGTTGCATGCTGCCCATGATGTAGAGCTAATATGCTTTGTTTTCAGGAGAATCTACATCACACTACAATGAAGACTTACGTTTTGGCTTGCAAAGGGTTAATCTAACCTGGTCCAAAGTAAATATCTGTGCACGCGCAGAGAGAGAGAGAGAGAGACAGACAGACAGAGAGATGGTTGAAGGAGAAATGCAGAGGAGTTCCTGAATCAGACTTGGGAGGATTGGATGTGAAAAAGGGACAGCATATCCTATGGGTGTCACATTTGGAGAAGAGTCAACACCAGAAACACTCCAACAGCATTTGAATTAAACTCTCCCTTCTTCCTGCCCCCACATCAAAGACTCCACTTTATGTTTTATACACACACACACACACACACACACACACACGCCCCTCCCCACAGTCACTGGTACAAGATACGTGTCTCAGTGAATTCATACATTCTCACCCCACCATCAAACTTACCTGCACATAGTAAATGCCTTTGGACTGGGCATACATCATTAAAAAGCAGTAATCTAGGTTCTGTTTAGTTCTCCACCTGCAAACCAGACAAATTTGATGAGAACACCACTGCCTTACTACCAGCCAGCAGATGCTTCATTTGGGGAGTGTGACAATCTGTGTACCCTTAAATTCACCCCTTTTACAGGACTATGATAAATTCTGTACAAAGTATGCCTTGTAAGGTGTCATTTGAAAACTCAGAATTTGCTGATCATTATTGTCCTGGTAAAGTATGTGTGGCAACACTGCATGTAAATTTATAAGATTCCTCTGTATGGTATTATTAAGACATGTTCCAAGTCTGGGGGAGCAGCCACAGACCAGTTCCCCAGAGACAAAAGGCTAGCCAACACCTCAGCCAGGTGTCTACAAAATCAAATGAACCACCGCTTGGTTAAGTGGCCATTCTTTGGCAGGAAAGAGGATGTGGGTGAAAATCTACATCTTGACAAAGAAATAGCTGGGGGTTCCCATCCACACAGACTTTCTGTCTCCTAAATCTCAGTTGGAGATGATTCCTGAATAAGAGAAACAACTATAAGAGAGGAGACATCACAAATTATCTCTCCTTTTCTCTCAACGGCATCCACAACACCTGAAGAACAAAGGAAAAAAGCTTTGGACAGGGGGAAGGGATTCTGACTAAAAGGAATTCAGCCAGTAAAACTGCTAGAACATGTGGTGACAGACACTTTGCTTTGAATTCACTTAGCTTGTTAAGTTAGGCATTAGTTGCATTTTACTTTTATTTTCTTGTAACCCAATTCTGACTTTTATGTCTCCTTACTTGTAGTTACTTAAAATCTATCTTTTGTAGATAATACACTTGTTTTATCTAAACCAGTGTGTGTGTGTGGGACACTCCATTTGGGATAATAGGATGTGTGCATATCATTTTCTATTAATAAAAATGACAGACTTTATATGAGCTTGCATTGTCCAGGAGAGAGCTGGGCAGTTCAAGACACATTTCTGGTGGAAAGTCTGGGACTGGGAATTTGCTGGTGTTGCTCTGCAGTGTAACGCATGAGTGGCTGGCCATAGCACTCATATACTATAACTGGGAGTAATTTACATGCTGGAGACTGTGTGTGAGCAGACCAGGAGTGGCTGCTCTCACAGCGAAGCAGTGTTAAAAGGCATCCCAGATTGGAGCACTGAGAGGACAGAGCTGTTAATCAGTCCAGATTGTACCCTGGGTAATGTCACAGGGAGCCAACACAATACACCTTTCACTTTCACCAGAGGAGAAGATGGGATAAAGAAAGCTTATTCTTTACTGTATGATTAGTTTGGAGTTAACTGGAAAACAAGTGGCTTCTCGAGGTAAGTATCCTGTAAGTTAGCAGCTTTGTCTCAGTTTGACTTGTGGAAAATAGACATGGGAAACACAGCAGAGCAAGCCAAGCCAAATGAAGCTAACAACAATGCATATTTACTAGGTCCTTAATTCTCACAAAAAGCAAATTTAAGGGCCCTGCATAAATCCACAGAAGTGTTTATCTCTTCTGAGTCAGGAGTATACAGAATGTAAGTATTACTTATTACAGATTTTTAAATCATCTGGTATTACCTGACTCTTTCCTTGGGGTCACCAAAAGATTCCCGGAGGCGAGAAAAGTCTGGATAGAAATGTGGAGAGGGGGAAATGACTTCCAGGAGACCAGAGTGTATTTCCTTGGGGAACCTGAGAGAGAAAGTGGAAGCAAGCAATTGCTGTACCAGGCGTAACATGACAGATTCAGACTGAAGTCACTTGGAAAACACCAGACCGTGGAATCAAACAAAATTAACCTCCAAGATAAAACCTCTATAGTAGTGAATGCACTTGCAGGCTTAGTTCTAACAAAAGGACAGCAGCAGGGTACTTGTCATGGGATTTTAAATCTCCTCTTCCCCCAACTGTTTCTAACAGCCCCATGTAAGCCTGGAACTGCAATCTGTTTGTATACCAGTATTTTTCTCTCTACTACATGCAAACATGTTGATTTGTTAGGGTAGGTTGCTCAGGGATGCTGGGCTGATAGCATAGATTTTCTTTTTTAAATGATCCACAAGTGTTGTGTGTGGAATGCCTCAAACATTGGCAGGAGGAACGACACTCACCACATAAGGGAATGTAAGCCTTATTTCTTCCTTTTAGGTTCCTCCCCTCAAGTCACACTGTCCAGGTCTCACTGTGCTACGATAGTCCAACATGGCTATAAGGCGGCATCCCTGTAGGAGCACCAAGTTGGCACATTTGGGAAAGGAGGGGAATACCATCAGGGCTGTTAATAAGCATATGATGAGGTTTTGCAGAGATTCTAGACTATTTTAAAGGTAATCTGGCAAAGCACCAGCACATGCTTTAAAAAAGGTCACTTACGAGGCCCTCCCTCACAAACTCACTCCAATGGGTTCCCGTGGTAGCTGTGATGCAGCAGAATGGGAGCAGACCAGCTGCCACTTCAGAGGTGAGGAACCTGAAGAAGCAATTTGGATCCACTGATGTCTAAGTGTCCCACCTACCACTTCTGCTTGAGGCAATCTGCATTTAACCCCTTAAAAATATGAGTCTGTTTTGATGAAAAACATAAGCATTTATTTGCAGGTAAAGCCCTACAGACAATTAGCTTGACCCCAGCAAATCTGGGGGACCCAAAGTCTGATTTACTAATATAAGGTGGCTATACAGGTGTTTGCAAAGTGTCAAAGTAAATGCCAGTTTGCAGAGATTATATTATGCTTATTTGATAGGTTACCAAAACCATTATAGTTGGTCTTAGTGGTTATTAGAAGACCACCAGGAATGTTACCTGATTTGATTTCCTATCGTGCCAAACAAAGCTACCAAAGTATATTTTCTGTGATATGGTTAAGAACAATTTAAAGGGTCACAGTCAATTAAAAAAAAGTCACTTGTCTGAAAAATGTGTACCCATTGTTACAAACAATATCCAAATACAGTATTACTGTAACTGCAAGGGATTAGACAGAAAGACAGCTTTCCCCCAGCGTTTTACACTGTACATTTTGACAGCACTCTATGTATCACCAGTAAGGCTAAGTTTTTGTCACGGATATTTTTAGTACAAGTCAGGGACAGGCCACAGGCTGCCATTAATTTTTGTTTATTTCCCGTGACCTGTCCCTGACTTGTACTAAAAATATCCGTGGGAGCTCTGGGGTCCCCCTGCCCCTGGGGCTGGGCTGCTGTGGGGTCCCCTCGCCCCGGGAAGCTGGTAGCTATAGGGTCCCCCCGCCTGCCTCCCGCGGCTGGGCAGTGGCATGGGGTCCCCCACCTGCTTGCTGCGGCCCGGGGTCCGGCCACCAGGTTGGGGGCTGGGAGCTGCAAGGGCAGGGCTGGCTGGGAGCTCCAGCCCCAGAGCAGAAAACGTCATGGAGGTCAATGGAAGTCACAGATTCCATGACATAATCGTAGCCTTAATCACCAGTTTCATTGTTTAACCCCTATAGTCAGTTAGTCTCCCTTATTTATGTGTCAGCATTTAGGCAGCAAGGGGAGGAACAGACACGACTGACTGACAGACTTCAGGACAGTAGTCCCCGAAACTACTTTTAACTTGTTTTTTAAATTGATAACATTACCAGCTGACGTCATGGTGTCCCTTTAAATTACCATTCCTCAAGCGATATCTGAAACATGGCTTCTCATTACAAATGCTGGGACGTTGATAAAGGAGCACTGGCGCTTTCCCTGAGCAACACACGCTTAGACTGTAGGCTTCCCCCCCCAATTGAATTTAAGAGATAATTTATGAGTTTATTTGGGGGGGTTGGAAATCAAATCACTAAGTTAATTCAAGTTTTAAACCTTTCACAGAGGGGCCCTTCCTTCGATAGTGCCTGGTAATTTCATCAGGGTACATCAGACAATCAGCTCATCATCCCCTGCTAAGTATACACTCCTGCCACAAAAGGCAGAAGGGTGGATCTGCCTCACTTTGCACAGCAAGACAGAGGGCTCTGTTTCAGCTCTTCTACAAGTGCAGTAGGAATACAATGCTTTTCTATTATTGGAAGCATGTCCCAAGCCCTCTCCCATCACCAGCTCAGGAATTGAATTGAGCCATTAGGTCACATCATCCTTTAAAAAGTCTTGCTCTTAAGGTTACTGTGGTTCTTTGGAAACATGCAGACACAGAAGCTGGACTGGATTCAGAGCCTCTGTGAGGACTGCTTTCTTCTTCCTCTTTGAGCTCTGATGCTGCTAATGCCTAGACCAGCTCTCTAATAACCATCTACCACAGGTTTCTCGTCAACATTTAGCAATTGTGAAGTTGCGGCGACCACTGTAACTCTGGGGCAGAAATTTGTTACACTAACACGCAATTCCAGAGAGATCACAGTTGCAGTGCCAGAGAAAGAATGCAACCTAACCTGGTGTAGCAAAAAGGGGCAGGGAAATGGACACTTAGGCGGTAACAGCCTTATTTTGGTGCCAGTCATGCTGTTCATTTGCTCTGACTCTATGAGCAGGCAGGATGCTGAACTATATGAGAATAGGAACACCCCTCCCCCCCAGGATGACTGTAAATATAAATAATCCATCTTCTCATAACAACACAGGACAGGAAGAGCGACTCAGATGGCAAGATCATGTGCATTGAGAACATGAAAGCACAAAACTGGTTGGATACAATCAGAAAGAAATTAAAGTTACAATACCATATATTTTAGAATGAGATGAATTTGGGATCAGCTTAATTAAGAGACAGGATGAGACTCTAGAATTTATAACGGAAAAATCAAGCCAACAAAAAGACATTTATTTTCTTTAACGAGGCTGTTACATTGTTACACGCCTAGTTCTCATCAGGGTAACGAATGGGAATTGCTTACAAGTTTTTGATGTTTTCTGCCACTCCAGTTGTATACTGTTCATCTGTCTGAAAATAAAAAGTTAAACATTGTAAGAAGAGATCATTCAGTTTCAGAGGAACCAACCATCAATACTTTAAATGCCTCATCCGGATTTATTCTCTGCCCGGGCCTGCATCTCAGAAGCCACTGCTAGTACTCCCTAGTCTGTGCTGTCAACACTTCCATATGCCATTCATTCATCTCCAGGCCTTCTTCTGTATGGCCCTTGTGCCTGAAATCCTCTCCCCATTTTGGTGGATCAAAACCGAACTCTTCTTCAAATTCCTCCGGTTTGGCCAGTGTTAAATCAAATAAAAATACTAAGTGTCTGGGGCCAAGGATCACATCCTCCTCTATTTTCTGTACAGTGCCAAGCAGGCTGTTGGCATTTAACTAAATGAACAGTCCCCGACAGAAAAGGAATTCTACCTTCGTCAGCAAAACAGAGGGGTTTCTATTATAACGTGTATTTATATTTTGGGTTAATTTCAGCTGCAAACCTGAATCTCTCAGTTGGTCCTGAGATTTGACCTGGTCACTCTCAGCAGCTCAGGGGAAGAGGCTAATCATGCTGCATGACACTAATAGAAAAGATATAAATGCGAAGACTCATGCAGGGGGCCAGTGGAGAGAAAATAAGGTCCCATGCCCTCTATTCCAGAATGCTGGATCAAGAGGCCTCCAAAGATTTTACTGCTCCGAGTGGTTCCACTGCTCTTGAAACAGCGAACACAAGTCTTAAGCCGGGATTTGAAAAGGAGGGACGATGACTTTTACCATCACCAGGAGTAAGTGCTAAACAATTGCTTGCAACGTCCTGCTCAGTACGAGGTGGAGCCAGATTTGGTGCCATGTTGGGGTGAGGAGTGAGAGGTCAGGGGTTTATGCCAGAAGCCAAGCTCAGGTGCTTTACCCAGAATAATGACAAGTCAAGTTTTTCTAGAGAGACGAGCTCCCCTTCTCCAAGGGTTCTCAGAACCACCGTGAGAGACTGATTTCTTTTCCCAGCTCTTCCAGGGTAACAGCTACAAAAAGGAAGGAAGATGGCCTTATATTCTGGGAGCGAACACACAACTCCCATCTGTCACTTTAACTGCCTCAGCACTTCGCATCGGATACCAAACACCACATCTGCCCACACATGCCATCCTGCTTTAAATGATGATGTAGGGGAGGAATGGGGCTCCGCCCCACCGTGACAGCACATTGCAATGCAGCAAACCCACTCCAAGAGGACTCTTCCTATTACAGCTGTGTCTAACTACTCTGACAGGGACAGCTGTCCCAGTGCCAACGCAGCTAGAGGACTCAGGCTGGAGTCTTACAACATAATAAGCAGGCTGCTTCCATCAGTGACCCAGTGGAATTTTTTTCACAACTCGTAGGAAGGAAGTTAGCTGCCAGAGCCAGATACTGTTGAATTGGGAGTTGATTCTCAGTTTCTGAAATACTCTAAATTTTAGAGGCAGTCATTAAAACCCCTCAGGATGGAGCCCATATCAGTTCTCTTATCTTCGCCCCTGCCCCTCCTAAGACTACAGTGGCAGCTTCATGTTGCCTAGATTCTTCAAGCTATCTGATGACTGTTCAAATCTCATACCATCTTTTATATCATTTTCTACCGTAGGCCTGAAGACTCGTGACCCATAGGCAGTGATGTACGAAGAAATGCACTCTCTGGATTGGGTGTGTAACAAGCATAGCAATAGTTCACACTTCTATAGCGCCCTCCTGCAGATCTTGCAACACCTGACAGTTAAAAGGACAGAGTCTACTGACCCCTTCTTCCTGAAGTAGTTTTACCTTCTATTGTTACCTGTAACATCTACTATTGCTGTAACTGAGACATGAGAAAGATTTCCTCTGTTTTTGTGCATTTGGCAATTTATTTAAGAATTAATTTCACTGTTTCTCCACAATCAGTTTCCCCTATCTGAGACAGTCTGTCATACTTCAAAAGAAGGAAAAACATTTTTAAAATATAGTGAGGGGAAAAAAAATTTGGCAGGGGGAACTCAGTACCTGAAAATCCTTGTGAATCAATTTAAAAAAAAAAAAGGTAATTTCACATTGATGCTTCCCTTTAAATCCTCACACGATCCCTGTGAGGTCCATTTCACAGACATGTACATTAAAGCACAAAGGCATTAAGTGACTTGCCCAAAATCACAGCCTGCCAATGAAGCAGTTTAGGAGAGAATCAAACCCATGCCCCCCAGTCCCAGGAGGAACCTACTAATCCAATCCCCCCCCCAGCACTTTGGATAGCAGCCACTCGCTCCTCAAGAGTGCGCTTTCCTTTTGTATAAAAAAGGCAAGCTACAGACCTGTAAGCATAATGCCACTCAAACCATCTAATTGCTGCTAAACAGGTAGCAAAGACAGGTATTTATCTTCACTCTGCTCCCGGCAACACACCACTGAGGTTTTGCTTGCTCAGTGGATTTCTGAAAACTAAGACAAATGCATTTTAGGCTTGAGAAAATAATCCAGAGGGGAAAGCGGTGGCGAAAAATAACCCTATAAACCTCTAGATAAAAGCAGCTCTAGTGGATTAACGCACCAAGGCTTTGTAGCTCCTGAATTTAGCAACTGATTCTGGCCCTGGGCATCAGTGCAACAAAATATGCTAGTCTTAGCCTTGGAGAAATGGGCTGGGGGATTGCAGAGAAAACATGATGGAGTCTTGGGAGGGAAGCATGAATGAGGTGGAGTGGTGTTTAAAGGGGTTCAGTCAACAGCTGCTTTGGAGTTTGTAGGAGCCGAGTGAGGTTAATGAGCACAACTTACATGAAAAAGATGAATGCATGGGCCATGTTGGCAGCTATAATGTAATCATCTGCTAACATATTGACCCTCTGTAGAAGAGCGCATCCAAGCACTGTTTCACATTAAAAACAGGCTGCTGGCCCCCATCAGGGGGATGTGCCTGATGAACCTTGTCAGACAACAGCCCAAGGTTGGGCTTATCTGCCTCTACAGCGGTGGATCTGGCCCTCATCCATGACAAGACATCCTGCTGTTTTATGGCTGCATTCAGCCTCCTGGACCAGCACCAAGTCCCTGTCAGCCGGAGAAAGGGGATGAAGAGCTGATGAAGCGGGATAAATAGATACAAGGGTCACGTTACCTCAGCAATCATAACAACAATCACAGTGTCCTCCTTTTCCTGCTGGGTGAGCTCTGAGATCAGGGAGTTCAGGGTGTCCGTAAGGTATGAATGCACCTCTCGCTTCACGCTGGGGATTCCCATCACTATGGACACTGCTCAGAACCAAAGCAAAGTGTTTTCAGAAAGACAAACACAGGGCAATAGGCCAGGAAAACAAACAAGACTGTTCACTCAGCCCCCAAGGTCTCACTTTCTACTTGCTTTTAGCACGATGTTCCATCAATAGGAAAATGGGTTACTGACCAAAACGCCTGTGGCTACCCAGGGCTAATTCGCTGAATTATCCCTATCAGCAAGTTAACTTTTTTCTGATGAACAGTTTGGCCAGGAAACAAAAAGGAACGGTGTGCTAGCATGCAGGGCCCTCCCTTTGAAGCATTCAGTACAGTTATTACAGCTTTAAGACTGATATTTAGGAAATGCTGCAAAATGTTCCTCTTCAGAAAGGCCTTTCAACCCTAAAAAGACACTCAAGACCGAGACCTCTTCTGCCCAGAACAGGCCAACCAACAAAACCCGTAACAAATCAACATTAAAAAAAAAAAAGTAAATTAATAAAAAACAAAAAAAAAAACAAACAAAAACCCCTATCCCAAGCAGTGTTTTTACCCCAAGAAGAGGAAAAGTGCCAGGGACCCCATGAAGTCCACTACGGGCTTTGCCATTCCATTGACTTTACATGGGAGCGGCTCAGAAACTATACTGAGGGGTGGCAGTAAAATCGTCAGACAGACAGGGGTCAAATATCACTTTAGTGCTGGTTAAAGTATCTCCCTGCACCTCTTAACTTATAAGGGTTACACTCTGCGCATCCACCCTAATGCACTGATGCAGTGAGGAAGCCTGCATGGAATGTGCTCCCCTACTTCCAGTCCTGCTTTTCTCGAGCCAGGACTGGAGGGGAGGAGAAGGGCACACGTAAAGTGAAGGGAAGAGACATTGGCTCTTAGTGCTGCTGCAGCTGCTTTTACCTCCAGTGCGTCCCTGTCCCACATGCACAGCTGGTTGTAGACTGTTCTCCTTGGATAGCAAATGTGGCAAATGGTGAAAGATGGTGGGAAGATGCAGCACATTCTTGTTGGTGATATTCCAGAGTTTTAATTTGGTTTCATCTTAAAGGAGGAAAAGGAAGTCAATATGCAGGATACCATACAGGAAGAGATCACAAGGCTTCTAGCAACAAAACCCCGTCACAGGGCAATCTGGCCATTTTAGATTATCACTAGATTAATCCACCCAGCCTTCTTAGTGTGCACCCACAACTCCCACTAACGTAAGTGGGAGTTGTGTGTAAAGGCACTGAATAAGGTCCAAAATCTTTGAGGGGAGGAGAATGAAGATCAATCAGATTTTATCAAAAAGATCCAATTTTCCCATCCAATCAACTTTTGCACTTTGAAATAAGAGCAAATCTAAACCCTCCACTGTGACCTGCTTTTCATAAACATTCAATATTGGCATACAATTGGTGATAAAAGCTCATGAGCAAGCAAGTTAGCGTATATTATCTGCAGAGGCGTGATTCAATGTCTAACGGTGCATGGCCATCTCCATGCAAATAGATTTTTCTGAACCTCTTAAGCCTCATGCTAAATCAGAGACGATCTGGACCTTGGCCTATGCTTGCTCATCCTATCTGCAGCCCTACACAAACACACACCTCACTACCTCCTCTATAGCAACAGCTTCTCTCTGTTAAAGTCTGATTCACCAGATAAACTGCTCCATGTCCGGTTTACGTCCCGTAGGGCCTGCTTCTCAGAGATCGCTCTCTTTATCTCGTCTAGGACCAGGTTCAACTCCTTGGAGCGCTTTAGGCTCTCCTGTTCAGCAGCATGCAGACGGTCTCTGAGCGCTAGGAACTCTCGCTGATAGATATCCACAACCTCACCTGTGGAGAGAAGAGAGAGGAAACACTTTTTCCCCCTGCTGTGACAGGTTCCAAAAGGCAAAGTGTCATTAGTCATCCATTCTCCCACTCCGCAGCCCTAGGCACCAAACCTAAAACAGAGGGAGGAAGAAGTATTGCCAAATCACTGGCTGATTCGGAGGTAACTGCTCACCCATGTGCGCTTCACAGCAATTAAAATTCTCAGAGCACTGGCCATTTTACCTGAGGGTTCTATAATACAGGCAGAGTGGGTAGCACCACTTACTAATGTTGCTTGGCCCTTCCTGTTAAAACACCCTTTTGTCAGTTGCTTATAACTTTCCCTCCCACTGTGAGGGAAACTGGCAGTACGGGAGGGGGAGAACAGGACTGGGACTCAGTTGCCTTGGGGGAGACACAGATTTGACAAGGCTTGGGGGGGAAGACTGGGAGTGGCTGGACAAGGAACCAGTGAGGGAATGAGGGCAGGGGAGACCGATCTGACAAGCAGCTGGGGCATGGGCGGTGAGTATCGTAGGCAAAGGGAGGCTTTGCCTTCCCAAACAGCCTACCGTGGCCCCACCCCAATGCCAGTGTGCCTCCTCCAGCAACTCGGGGCTGCCAGGGCTGGGCCGCGCTGGCTGCCTGGAGCCCCAAGGCTGGGGACACGGTGACCGCGCCGCCCAAGGGCTGTGGGTGCTGAGGCTGTGGTGCACCCGGGCTGGGGCCTCGCCACCACCCCCCCACACACCTGGAAGCAGTGGGGCCACGGTGGGGATGCTTTGGATTCCTGCAGGGGAGGGGAAAGTAGAAGGGGGGAAGGGTCTCGGGCACAAGGGGAGGGGCCAGGGGCTGGGTCACCGGCCGCCCAAGAGCTGGGGTGTGGGAGGAAAACCTGGACTGCCTGGGCAATGAGATGAGTGAAGGAGCCAGTGAGGGGTGAGGCTGGGGAAGGAGCTAAGGGATGAGGATTGAGATTGGATGAGCGGCCCCAAAAGGAAGACTAGAACTGGGAGCCAGTGACTAGGGTGGAGAGAGACTAGTCAGATGCGATGTCAGCAGGTGGGGAAGTGGAACTGGTTGGGTGAGGAGACTGGGGACAAGGAGTTGGGGAAGGAGTGGGAGAACTGGGACTGGACTGTGGAGGGGGAGACACTGGGGAGAGGTGGGAATTGGGGATCTGACAGATGGGGAGACCAGGATTGCATGGTCAAGGAAACCGGGACTGGGAAGATTAGCCTGAGGAAGTGGAGACTGGGACAAGGAGCCAGGGTAGGGACAGGCTGCAGGAGACAGCACATAAAGGGTCACGCTTGGAGAAGAGTCTGTGCCCACTAGAGCACACGCCCCTCCAGAGCTTGGAATGGAACCCAAGATTCTTGTCTCAACATTCCTCTGCGGTCAGCAAATACTTGTGAAACACACTGGCAGAGTGGGCATTTCACCCCCCCTTCATCATTACTATTTGAATTACCATAGCATGTAGAATCGCTAGTCATGGACCAGCACTCCACTGCGTTGGGGACTGTACAAACACAGAACAAAAAGATGGTCCCTGCCCCAGAGAACTTACAGTGTAAATATAAGACAACAGATGATACAATACAGACAGATGGGGGAGTATAAGGGAACAATGAGACAATATTGGGTCAGCATGATAGGCAGAGGTTTCAGCACAGCAGCAGCTCAGCTGTTGTCAAGTTTTTGCAGGCTCCATGGAAAAGGAGAGTTTGAAAGAGGCTAAAGAGATAACTCTGCAGATGGTTGGGGGGAGGTTCGCCCAAGTGCAAGTGGCAGCATAAGATAAAGCACAAAGGTATTTGTTTGAAAATTTAATGAGGGAACAATGGAAGCAGGCATCGTGGGCTGATTGGTGGCAAAAGCTGACATTTCGATAGTGAATAAGAGGTAATACGTAGTGAAGAGACAGGCTATGAAGAGCCCTGAAAGTGAAGACAAGTAATTTATGTTTGATGCAATAGAGAAGAGGAGCCAATTACAAACTACTGCTCCTATCAGTTACTCTGTTATCTCCAGTGGCAGAGATCTATGCAGTGGATCTAAAACTTCCAACCCTGCTGATGACCCATGTGTTTGTCAATACACCGCCACATAAGGGAATTTCTATTTTTGCAGTTTGCTTTTTTAGAAACTTAGGAAATTATGTATAAGAAACCTAGCTTAAAACATTACAATTGCAAAGTCAAGCACTCAAAAGTTTGGAAATGCAGAATTAAGACTGCCTGTGCAACCTTGTGCATGTGTGTTACGATATGCTTTAATTACTATTTTTTCCAAAGGACCCCTGGCTCATTTAGAGCACAGGATGGCTGAATCAGGATTGTGTAGTAAAGGAGACTGTGGTCTGTAAGATCCCTGCCTCATTTGTTGAGGAAGTAAGAAAGGATGTAGAGAGTGAGTGAGAAATAGAAAGGATGGTCTTATGGTGCTGCCCTGGATCATTATACTCTATCTCTACCTCTGCCACAGAGTTCTTATGTGATCCTGGTCAAGTCACTTAAACCAAACTGTTCACAGGTGGCCATTAATTGTATGTCCATCAATTTCTATATGCCCAACTTGAGATGCTGCGGTCTGACTTGTAGAAGTGCTGAGCACTCACATCTAGAATAGAGTTGGCTGGAAATTTTCCAATGAAACCGAGTTTTGTTGGAAAATGCTACTCCAAACTGGAAACGTCTTGTGAAAACAGTTCAGGTTTGAAGAAATTTTGTCGAAACACAGGCAGGATTCTGTCAGATACCTGCCCGGGTTCCCTACCAGCTCGCCTGGTGGGCCGCCGGGGACCAGCAGCTCCAGGGCCATTCTGCCATGCCAGGATTTCCAGGCTTCCTACCATGGAGCTGGGAGCCTGAAAGCCCTTAGAGCCCCAGGTCTAGCACAGGCACCATTAATGAGTGCTTGACTTTGCGACCTTAATAGTGTTCTTTGAACATTGGTTTGTGTGTGCAATCCCATTTAGAACGTTAAACATTTACCGTTCTGCCTCAAATCTATACCCTGGAGCAAGAGTCCAGAATCGACAGGCAATCATAGTAGCAAAGCTATAGTTAAAGCACAATCTCGATTTCTCTTTTCGACTCAGTTTTCCAGGGGGTTAATATATAACCTGGCTGATTTTAAAGTCACCTTGGGTTGAAAATGTGCTATATAAAAATTGCCCGTGTTGTTAAAGATTTCCTACAAGGGAAAAGAAATTGGGCATTTGCCCTTCTCTGCTTCTTTATAATATACGGTGTAAAGGTGACCTGAACGCTGGGTTTAAAAACAAAACAAAGAGACATTCCAAGTGTGTGTGAAATAGAAAGCATGTCCAGGTGTGTGTACCTGACAGCACACAAGAGCCTGAATTACAATATGCATGCCTCCAAGACTGTGCAAGTTTGAGAGCACATGTCCAAGGGATGTTTATGAGTCAGAGAAGAGGGGGTGTGCACATGCAAATGAGCATTCATGGGTGGTATGTGGGGCGGATGGGAAGGGTGGGCTAGATTTTTGCCTGTCAAATCTTGGCAGTTCTGCTAGGCAGAATTAAGCCATGAGCGCTCATGACACACATGCTTTGTTCCTCCAGCAAAACTAGAGAAGACCAGCTTGATGCTCCTGATAGCTTCTCTTTCCCTTCCCTCTACCCCCCCCTTTTTTTTTTTAAACTTTGGAACTTTATTTAAACAAAACACAGCACAGCACATCCTGGGTCTCTTTTATACGTCACAGGGGAAACAAAGAAGGCACGAGCCCGATTAAAAAAAAAACCCTTTGTAGGTCACAGCTTTAAGAGTCCCTCAGGGCAGCACTTTCCTCTTTTGTTCATGCTGCCTTGAACGATTTCCGTATAGGAAGCAGCACCAGAAGCTTCTGAAAACGACAGAGCTACGTCCAAGTGAGGGTGAAGTTATCAGGACTTCTTTGAACTGGCTCTCAAATCACTTTGCAAAAGGGGATGCCGCCACACAAGACGATGTTATTGTTTTTACTATGGCAACTGCGGCTACTGAGAACAGCAGCCAGAAAAGACACAAAAAATAGCCTGTCTCCTGCATGAAACTCTCCAGTTTATTTTCCACTCTCCAGAGAGTACTATGTACCAACTGCAGTGTGGCATCCAAGAAGTGAGGACGCTGGTAAGAAGGAAAAAAACCACACTGGTTAGATTAAAATTCTAGTTTAAAAGCTCAGTAATAACATTGCTTCCTCTCTTCATAAATATGAACTACTTGGATATACAGCTAGAAATAGTGCAACCATAACTCCGATCCAATCCAGGATGGGGTGTGGAAATCACAGCCAGGACCAAAAGCCAAATCTCCAGCTGTGTCCATGGCCCCAGCTGCTTCAAGTGGATCAGCGTGAATAATTAAGGACAGGGTGCAGGACCTCAACCTGCACAGATTGTGGTCTTAGCCAGATGGCACAAGAAGGCTCTTGGGATGATAAAAAACAACATCAACCCAAAAACCTGAGAGTGGAGTGGGCATTTAAAGAAATACACTATTAATAAACAGCCTTTTGTTAAAGTATTTTGTCAGTTATGTTTCTGATTAGAGGTATTAGCGAGACAAGGAAGGTGAGGTCATATCTTTTATTGGACCAACTTCTGTTGGTAAGAGAGAGACAAGCTTTCGAACTTACACGGAGGCAGTCAGCTTCACGGTAATTTAGACAGGTTTTACCCAAAAGGTGGTGATGGAGAAACAGCTGCTCCTATGCCTTGATAGCTTTCCCCTGCAGTGTCCCACATGGCTCCATTCTAGCCCTCTCTTCTCCCCCTCAACTTAAGAAACTGCTCCAACAACTTAATAAAACTGCCTCTGGAGCTTGTGCGAGGACATGGACTTTTACACCAGTTAACACGTGAAACACTGCTCTATACCACATTCACATCAGACACAGAACCCAGTAACTCAGCTGCCCTGGTGTTTGAGGAAGAGAAGCACCTGAATAACAACTAGATGGTGCAAATGAAAACCTGTAGAGACAGAGGCAATACTGTTAGGAGG